ACTATATGTTACTTAGTAATTCTACCATAATATGGTTTTTGAAAAATGGTTGAATTCAATTCCACCACATGTATAGTTGAGACATTAGAACTAGGGCTCTGAAAAGTACTGATCTATAGTAAATTTAATATATGAGTTGTAATCCACTTATATGAATTTATAGTAAATTTAAGTATCAAACTAGTATCAAAGTGATATTGAAGTGGTACCATTAGGAGCTCTAATCAGAACCATGCATGACTATGCAACTAGAAATAGACAATACCAGTTGATAAATTCTTTCTATTTTAACAAAAATGATCTGTTCCAAGCAGGATTTAACTCAAATTCAAGAGCCAAGAATTTATAAAAAAGAACAAAACTTGCTTAACTCAAGAAAACAAGATGCCAAGAAAACAAGAAGTACAAAGTCAAATCTATTCAACCTTAAAGACAAAGGTGGTAAAATACAACTTCAAATATAGTGCAACTCCACATCTAAAACAAGTAGAAAAAGGCAATTCCAACAAGTTGCAAAATTACTCAAAGTTTTCAACATGTGAATATCCATGTTTTAACAATAGAAAAAAATAAGTGAATAATCTTGAATTTTTATAACTTCCACCTGCAAACAGCAACTTTAAAACAAATTTCCTATACAAAATATTTTTACAAATGTTAATAACAACACACCAATCTCAACAGTCTTCTCAGAAAACTCAAAAGACACCTCTATGACATCTTTATCCAATAAAGAAAATGATCTTAATGAATATTCCAGCAGACTATATGATCAAGAAAATTCATCAAGTCATCAACAAATATGAAAAGTTAGACTTAATCAAGATAATCAAGGGAAACAACAATTTTAATAGTGCAATAATATCATTTCAAATCACAAAAACCAAACTAAACTCAATATGATTTATATTCTTGGACCCTCAATGGCAAGAATCACTCCATTTGAAGACTATCTCTCAATCTTAGAAACACAAAACAAAATAACATCTGCCACATATATAATGAGTGCAGTCAAATATCTCAAAGCTAAAACTGTGTATATTTTAATAAATAGCAAAACCAAGAAAAAAGAGGCTTTGCAATAATCAATTTTGAGAACCAAGAAGATATAAATAAGGCCTTAACATCACACATAGAGTTATTTGGATGTAAAACATGGTGGAATACCAAAAACAATACCAGAACATTTGAAAACATTGAAAAATTACTTATATGAAAGTAATAGGCCTAGTAGAAGTCAATCAGATCTTTCTATCACAGGAAGTTTCAGTTCCAAACCAAGCAATAACAAAAGAAGATCCAAGTCAAAAGAGAAGAAACATGCCAGTTGAATTAATTATCTACAACCAAGGAAAACAAAATCAGTTCACCATTAATATCACAAAATAACTCCTCAGTTTATAATGAATTATCTATAGACTTTTCAAATATAACTTCATCTATAACTTTCAAAAATCCAACAATAATCACAACAGAAAACAATATCAATATCTTCCTTAAAGAACAAAAAAAAACTCTTAGTAAACAACAATATACAACACCAGTTAGACCAACAAGCCTAACCAATAATAGCAACCTCATTCACAATGCACATATAATGTTAGAGAAATCACCCAAGAAATAAATTTGTGAAACTGTGATTAGACCCCAAATATTAATCATGTGGTATCATCTGACGAGCAATCACCCTAGATTTTTTTTCAGCGAACACCCTAAACCAATTTTTCAATATACCATGACAACGTCTAACCAATGGCCCCACTCCTTAACCAATAGGTTTTGTGATAGGTAAAGTTGATAAATATAAGAGTAATAGTAGAGAGCAATTGTGCATACCAAAAAGTAAAAGTAAATCGATTTTTTTCAGATGTAAATCTCTCAAGTGTTATTGCCAAAGTCCATTACCAGAACTATTACAATACAACATCCAAGAATCAAAAATCGTCCACACTTATGTACTATTTGTAAAGTTAAACATTATTCAACCATACATGGCCTTACTTAACATGAAAATGCTACTCATAAAGATTACAACATATTTTGATCCAGTATATCTCAACTACCAGCTGATCACATAACAGAGTTTAAAAGAATTTTGGTGCACACGATTCATAAATGTTTACCTCTTCATTTTCACATTCAGGAAGACAACTAATTAAGTTTTTCTGTATGGAAAATCAATTTGTCAGTGTTTTTGGAAGACATATAATGCATTTTTCTCCAGCAAAAGGTACCTATTCTTGTGTATTCAAAGGTGAAAATGCAGATGACATGTTGTCTGAGATTCTTGGAGACCAACAATGGGACACGAGATATTATGAAGCCAGACAATGTGCTTATGTTGTCTTGTACATGGAAGGTTGGGATTAACAACAATTGACTTCAACACGAAAGAAATGCGATCCTGAAAGTATAAACGAAAAATCTATTCACAAAAAACAACCCCAGCCTATTCCACCCGAAATGCATATTCAATGGTTTACTGAAAGTCTATTAGATGTAAAAGGACATTCTACCTCGTCAAGCTATATCAGAATAATTTTTAGAATGGATCATGATTACGAATAATATTGTAAGTAACAAACTAGACTGGTTTTTAATACATTGTATCAATTTTATTCATTTTTCTCTTTACATTTTAAAAAGGAAATTGCTTTACATAGTTTGAATGAAAATAAAAGTTTCTTTTTTATAAAAAATATTACCCGATCAGCTTGTGAATATTGCTTTCTATTTTACTGGTATCGAAGCTTTTTAAATTTTGGCTCTTTCAGTTCTTGTTTATAATGGAGAAAATATAAAACTCGATTTTCATAATCCAAAAGGTCAAGAATGGCGGATGAATGAACTTCAGTTGCTCTACCATCTTTCATAGTATTTGAAAAAAAATATTAAACTTGCTTATGATTTTTTTTTTCAACTGCAGAACAAGAAAACGCAACAAAACCCCATCAACGATGTATCATCATAAACTCGGCCACATGATGAATTAGTACATGCATGTAAGGTATTATATCTGCTGGATTGTAGAGTCCTTTCACGAAATTATGTGTATTGTGCTTGCCACTGGATGGAGTAAGAAACAAAGAAAGCCAATTTCTTGCGTTATCTTTGAATTTTGCTGGATCAGTCAAA